TGGGATATGCAAAAAAAATTACAAAAATATTTAGCTTTAAGAGGAGTAGGCCTATCCTAAAATTTAGGAACGCTCGACCTCAACACATGGTATCCAAAGGGGTGTTATGGCCTCCTGATACCACTATCGTACCTTGATACCTTGAAGTAAGAAGCATGGGAGCTCCCATGCTTCTTGCAGTAACATTAAAAAAATTAATGAAGTATCCTCATGGAATTATTGACAAGTTGCTCAAGGTAAATAGGCCATTCCTTGTGGAGGGGGCTAGGGGTGGCTCATCCTTTTGCCCTTTCAACCTCCATGAAAGATTAGAAAGGAATGGATAAAGGTTAGACAGTTAAATTGAGATGGAATAGGACTGAGTGCTTTAATTGGTCAAATCATTTAAAGCCTGGTCATTTGATTAAGTCCTGGCTAGTCTTTCTTAATATAAATCTTAGACCTTGACTGAGAGTGCCATATTTGGTGAAAATGCATTTTCATTTCCTTACCTAAATTGTGAATCTTGAACAATTGGCCTCATTTGGGTTCAACTCGACAAAGTTTGGCTCTCATATAGGCCATTTTGATAAAAAAAGAAAAAATGCTAGGAAATTTCAATTTAAAAAGGAACTATTGTGAAAAAAACGGGGTAGGAGAAGTCTTCCATTCTGTAATAGCAGTTAAGTGCAAATGCAGTCCATTCTGTCAGGAGAGAGACAGGCTAAACAAAACACAAGAAGAAATATACATATTTGCCAATAGGATTTCCTTTGAGGACAATTTTGCCCTAGCAAGTTGATTCATCTTCCAGCACCTCTCCAGTGTGAAAACAGACAAGGCATATCTGAACTTCTGGGTTCAATGAGGAGAACTAATGGGAAATCAGCTGGGAAAAGGAGGGGGAAGGAGGAAAGAGAGAATGGAAATGAGAGAGATAGCTTCAGCCATCTTGTCAGGGCTAAAGTCCCAGCTATTGCTTCCATTGGTCTTGATGAGGCCCTCAGCCTTGACAAGGCCATTGGCCTTGTCAAGGTTAGCCTTGACATCAAGGTTAGCCTTGACAAGGCCATTGGCCTTGTCAAGGCTAACCAAAGACCAACATTGTTGGCAGCAGCATTCGGCGCAGTTCCTGCGCCGTAGGAATCTTGCGCCGCCGGAACTAGGGGTTTATAAACCCCGGTGCTCCCAGCCCTTCCTAGTCTGTTCTGGACTTCTTTACTGAGAGAATTGCTCCTTGTCTGCTCTGCTTCCAGCTTGCAAAGCTATATCTGCCACCCTACTAAGTGAGTCCATTCAGGAATCATTTTGGGGTTTTTGCAAGAACTGCTGCTAGAATTGCAGCAAATAGGCTTGCAATTCTGTTCTGAATTTCCCTGCCTTTTTTCATGGGAGCCAATTCAAAATCTTATCTATGATTCATGTGACTGCTGATTCTTCATTATATTGCTTCAGTACACAATAAAAAAAAACTCTTTTCCCATTGTGTGCTGTATATGGGGAGGTACTATATGTGGATGTGCTATTCCAATAAGGGAGGCACATTCTTAGAATTTGAGAATTTGAATGGAAAATTCTCAAATTCTATGAATGTGCCTCCCTTATTGGAAAAGTGGTGGAGGTGCAGGGGCGTTTGGGCAATATAATGAGTTATCATATGAGAACCATTGTGTAAGGCTAAATCAGATGCAAGTGTCTCCAGGCTACAAGATTTTCTCCATATTCAACTCCATTTTGATCTGATGCAGCTTACATAAACATTTTTTCTTTGATTTTCATTTTGAAAAGAGACTGATGAGAAAATGATTAGAGTATTGTAATGGGAATTTGGCAGAAGCTTGCTATTTCTTCATTGTTGGATTAGTCAAAGGAAAATCATGCCTTAGGGTTACAATTACTTGCAGCCAATAAGTTTTTTACATTAACATTGGAAACTGTAAAGTATATGCATCCTAAATTTACTTGTCTTCCTTTCAACAGGATCTGAAATGGTTGCCATGAGTCACAACTACATCAACATGAAATTCCTGGCTGTACTTCTGCTGCTGGCAATCCTGGTCATTGGGCTACCTACCATAACAGCAGAACCAGTTCCTGGATGTCTCCCCAGGTCTTGCATTAGACATGGTTGTTATTCAGGAAATTGCTACAGTTGGTGTCAGGATTGTGGCTATGTCTAATAAAAGCACCATGAATTGGTGCTCTGCCATTCAATGATTCAAGATTATGACTGAAAATATAACTCTCAAAGTTTCTTGCATAGAATTCTAGGCAAGTTTTTTCTCCCATGTTAAATGGCTCTGTTACAGTTTGCCTACTAACTTTATTTCAACCATTGGCTATCTCATCACTTGGAAAGTTTCATTGTACTTTGCTCTGCACAGTTGCAAATGAAATGCACCAATATTGCATTGATGCCTGCCTTCATATTTTTATTATTATTCTTACCATAAACAACTGATACACTTTTGACTTGCTGCAAGGAAGAAACTCTGGTCCACATGAACAAAGAAGACAGCAACAGGGGGAGGTGAAAGCATCACAATCAGTTTCATACATGAAGCATTTAATATTCCATGCAATGTTATATCAGCTTGTTATGAACAAACCACTTCATTTCCTATCCAAGAATGCACTCCATGGTAATGAGAAATACATACCAAATTAAGAAAAATATTAAATTTTCCACATCTTTGAAGTTGGACAGCAATGACTAATGGATTTTTGTTTGCCTCATATGATAGTGGCAAGTTAGATTTACATGTTGAGAGACTTTTTCAGAATTAATGTATCGCTCCTGAAATGACCAGTGTGCTTGTACAGGGTGATACAGAAACATTGAAGCAATGTAAATGCTTTGTCTTTTTTTATGTACCAAAAACAGTGTGGTTTTGC